AAATAATGGGGGGGGGTCTCTTTATTTCCTGTCCTGGAGATGTAGGGAAGTAAGTCTCTACATCTATACACATTGAGGGCAATTCCCACCTTAGCCAGTTGTCACTAGATCATGTGTCCCTATTGGATGATTTACCTCTTCTGGTTCTGGTGACAACTCTAAAATGTTGCAATTTCCATCACTCTGTCTCAGTGGCAATGGTTACCAGGACAAATAGAAGGGTGAAGAAGCAGAGACAAAGACTGAAATAAATTGCCAGAGGTTCTATTTCGCGCCTATTCTAAACCTACAAAAATAATTTTGGCCATACATACACTTCAACACTTTTCTCAGTTTATTCATTTAGATCAGCCTTTCTCAACCAGGGTACTGTGGAACCCTGGGGTGCCTTCTAGCCTTCTCAGGGGTGCCTCAAAATATTCACATATTGTCATGCCTCTGATGTGAAGAGAAGATTCTTGATGTAAAAGAGGGAGATTCTGATATAAAGAGGGGCTCCTAGTGTGAGAGGGGGACTCCTAGTGTGATAGGGAAACTCCTGATGTAAAGGGGGCTCTAATATGAAGGAGGCTCCTAATACGAGAAGAAGGAGACTGATATGAAGGGAAAACCACCCTTTTTTTCTGTGTTTTTGCATGCCAGACACCCTATTTCGTATAACGGTCTGGTATGGATTTTGGAGGGACAATACCTCATTTTTTACATTTACCGTTTTTAAACTAGGGTACCTAGTCTAAAAGCTGTAATACTTTGCATACTTTTAAAGGGTGCCATCACCCATGCTTGAGAAAAGGTTAAGAAACACTGTCTTAGAGTCTGCAACAAATATTGATCAAATCAACTTTGGTTAATTAACCACCTGCTGTCTGGCCGTTGTAATTAAACGGCCGGACAGCGGCTTCTTGAGAGCGGGTGGCCGTTTTTAAGCTGCGGGAATTAAGCCTGCACTGTAAACAGCCAGCGATGGCTGTTTACATACAAACGTTCGGGCATCTGTAGAGACGCCCGATCGCTTGTAATAAGTGTGCAGGTGTGTGGCCCCCCCCTCCGCCGCAGCCGCTGCTGGCGATCCTGGGCTCCGCTGTGCCCGGTGTGACCCCAGGACCAGCACAGCAGCTCTGCGGCCGGAGATCAAACGGAGCTCAGTACACGAGCTCCGTTTCATCTCCTCCTCCTCCTCTTCGGAATGCAGGCAGTGATGTGTACTACATCACTTCCTGCATTCAGTGTCACTCTCCGGTACAGAAACCGGAGAGAAGCTGGTGAAGCAGGTCTCTGCTTCATCAGCTTCTCTGGGGTCCCTAGGTGACATTAGGGGTCTTAAAGACCCCTGATGTCTCCATAAAGAGGACCTGTCACTGAAAATTGGCTATCACAAACGGGGCTTGTTAGTCCCCTATGGGATAGCAATAAAGTTAAGTGAAAAAATTTTTTTTAAAAGAATTAGTTACAATAACAATATAAAAAAATTAAAAGTCACATATAAAGGTGATTAAAAAAATATAAAACATTTTTTTAAGTCCCCTTGCCCCAAAAAACATGCAAACATGAGTGTGCCTAAGTGCGTAAACGATGATTGCATCCATTACGCTGCACATGTTGCGTATCGCCGCGAACGTCGCAGTGAGAGCAATAATTTTAGGGCCATCAATCACTGATAACACTAAACTGATGAGCAGTAAAAGCTTTCAAAGTGTCGCCTATGGCCAATTTTAGGTATGGTAGTTTTTGCGAGTTCGCGGACGCACGCAATTTTAAATCTTAACATGTTTGGTGTCTATTTACCCGACGTGACTTTTATATTTTGCCAAAAATTTGGGTAATAATAACTGTTTTATAACATAACGTAGGGAAAACTGTTTTTTTCCCCAAATTTTCGGTACTTTTTTCATTATATAGTAAAAAATAAAAACCCCAGCGATGATTAAATACCACCATGACGGAATAAATGTCAGTCAAAGTACCGCAGCGATGACCACTGAAAAATGGCCTGGACAGGAAGGGGGTGTAAACACCCCGGTCAGTAAGTGGTTAATAATAGATTTCAATAAAAAATTTCCATGATCCCTTCTAAAACTTAAAGCAGAAAATAAGGCAAGCATCACAATCTCATGATTTTTATTCATATGCAAATATATACATTTAAATGCAAGCAGCGTTTGTGTGCACTGTTCAGCACCTGATATTATGATAATGGTACTCAACCATACTGATTATAGAAAGAGATAGCTTCTGAAGTTCTTCATACTTTCTCATCCCTGCTCTTTTAGCTTGCTAAGTGGATAATAAGGGAGCAATAGCAAATCTCCTCTCCTGTGTGCATATTTACACTGTTAGACTGACAACACTGACTGGCTCAGAGTGTAGACCATCTCCCAGTGTGAATATGGCTGTGCAGGGGATTATGGATAGCTTTCTCAAAAACAGATTAAAGAAGAATCTCCAGGAATTTTGTTATTAACCCATGCAGTGGGGCTATCCCTGTACTGCGAGGGTTACATGCTCATTTGTTTCTAAGTTTAAAAAAAGTTACACTCACCCGGAGCGCCGAGCCTGCTTCTTCTAAAGGTGCCCATACATTGGCCGAATTAGGGACAGTTTTTAATTCGCACAGTGTGTGGGGCTGTCTGCTCCCTTTCAGCCGGCATTCCTCGATCAGCTGATCGAAGGAGCCTGTTGTAAAATCTTCATACGATCAGAGGCGGCACCCAATGAGCTGCCCGCTCTGATCGGGTATTCTGACAGGTGACGGCAGAATATAATGCAAATGACGGTGATTCCTCGATCAACAAGCTGTTTGTGTTGGAGGAATCGCGTCAATTTTTTTCCGTTCAGCCCACGGGTTGAACAAAAAAAATTGATAGGTGTATAGCCAGCCTTGGACCGGTCCTTCTTGTGTCTCTCCCCCTCCTCTGCAGCGGTCTATGGTACTGTAAATCATCGCATCTATACGCAGTGTATAGGCGTGAGGACGCTGCATTGCAATGCTGCATTGGGGGGAAACAAGCTGGAGGGAGTGCTGTGACAGCTGGATGGCTTGGAGGATCTGGTGAGTATAACTTTTCTCGAGTTCTTCCTTAAGAGGTGTATACTAGCTATATCTCAAAATATATTTGCCTGGGTTTCCTCTGTATTGGCAAATCTCAAACCATTAAGTTTTTTTTTACAAACAGTAATTAATCATAATTTAAAGAACCCTGTAGTCAGGATTTTGAAAAAAATACCAGTGAATGGACATTTGTTGTGAGTCCTATAGCTGGCTGTTCTGCAGGGCACCGATCAGTTGCTGGCAGGTAAGTGAAGGCTTCCCAATGTATATGACATAGAGTTGTAATTGGATTATATGCAAGAATCAATTTGTAGATACAACTCACAGAAGCAGTATTTGTTAAAGTGTATCTGTGGTGACACTAGAACTATAAAGCCAGCACTTACACCTGTCTACTTTAATGCAGAGTGTTCTTTATATTGGGTTGTTCCGATATGTAACCACTCGTGGTTGTCAGCTAAACCTGCCATCTTTTGAACCGTATTATTAGCTCATTAATGTAATGGATTGCTCTACTAACCAAGGTGAGGTTCAGGAGACAGAAGGCTGTTGGAAGCGCTAACGACCATGGAGCTGACCACATACAGCAGCACCCCAATATTTTAGGCTAGTTGAGGCTTGACTTTTTTGACTCATTTTGGTGTCACCCCCTCTGAAGGCTGCACCCCCCTAGTGACCCCACTGGCTAAAAGCCCCGGTGCACATCCACAAAACTATCCATACTTGTTTTTGTTCTGCCTGATGAAGGGGATCCTGCGTGACCCCGAAACGTCACTTCTATCCTTGGAGTGTCGGTGTCCATACTTTTCTATATTCTGGACGGTAGCCATCCGTCGACTGCCGATGCACCCACCGTTCTTACCATGGATGAGCGGTCAGGAGTGCAATGGGTACTTGGACTGTAGAAGGCTGTTGGAAGCGCTGACGACCAGGGAGCTGACCACATACCACAGCACCCCAGTATTTGAGGCTAGTTGAGAATTGACCCTCAATCATTTTGGTGTCACCCCCTCTGAAGGTGGCACCCCCTAGTGACCCCACTGGGTAAATGAAGAGAAAGGTTTGTTTCACTGCTTACCGGACAACCCCGAATATGGGGAAGGGGGCTTGGAATGACTGCGGATGGCGTTGCCAATTGCAGACAATAGAGATGTCACCAGCACACCAGACTCCTTGAAGGATAGTCAATCGTGAATTTATTCAAAACTTATGTCAAATACACAAGCGCTTTCGGGACCACACAGGATCCCTTCATCAGGCATAGTTATGTGGTTCCGAAAGCGCTTGTGTATTTGACATAAGTTTTGAATAAATTCACGATTGACTATCCTTCAAGGAGTCTGGTGTGCTGGTGACATCTCTATATTGTCTGCAATTGGCAACGCCATCCGCAGTCATTCCAAGCACCCTTCCCCATATTCGGGGTTGTCCGGTAAGCAGTGAAACAAACCTTTCTCTTCATTTACCCAGTGGGGTCAGTGGAGTAAATGCCCCAGTGCACATCCACAAAACTATCCATACAAATCCAAAGTAGATATAAAGGCACTCATGGGTCTTGCAGTGGAGATAAGTCAAAGCAGCAGCGTTTTATTGTCGACTTTTCGATGGAGCTCAGTCTGTTTTGAGGGAGATAGGTTGAGCTCCGTCCAAATAGGGCCAATAAAACCCTGATGCTTTGACTTATCTCTGCAGCAAGACCCATGAATGCCTCTATATCTACTTAGCATATCCTGAACAGTAACGAATAATTCGTGTGGTCAGGTATATTCCCCTTCGACCAGCCTCCCGTATAGTAACATGGGTGCATTTTGTGTAACCGAACTAGATGTGCTTGTTAATTAGCGAATGTTGATGTGTCATAAGCAGCAAGTGTGTCACTCCCTATGTACATGAGCTGTGATAAATAATCCATGAGGCGGTATTAATATTCATGAGGTGGAAGGACTGTGTGTAGTGATGTGCGGTGATGTGGAGACAGGGGGAGTGTTGCCATGTGAGGACGCCGATGTCAGATACTTAGAGGAAAGGCAGACGACGATGCTGCACTACCTTGGCTTCCTCTCTCAGCTCACACTGGTGTGCCTGTCTTCATGTCTTGGACTGACTGATGAACAGCGGTAGTCAGGTCGGGAGGGTGATTCCCTGTCATAGCGTCTTCTATTCACACATAACGGAACTGGACGACTTTCACACTTCGTGCAATTTACAATGGGTTGCAATCTGTGCACTTTTCAGAAGAGAGAGGAGCACTACAAACTGCTCTATGAAGTTTCCCAGGTGAGTGCCTGCCATGGAGCCGACACATGATTCCTAACCAGTGCAGGGTTACAGCCACACACTGCACATGGATGAGGATTGTTTTTGTCAGTTGTAGGTTTATTTACTAAGTAGCCATGTGCAAAGTGTTTGTAATCCATAGCAGCCAATCAAAATCTGCCATACATTATGATAAACAAGTGAATGTGATGGCTTTTGGCACTTTTAAGTATCAT